TAGCTGGGATTACAGGCACGCGCCACCATGCCCAGCTAATTTTTTAAATTTTTAGTAGAGACGGGGTTTCACCGTGTTGACCAGGATGGTCTCGATCTCTTGACCTCGTGATCCACCCACCTAGGCCTCCCAAAGTGCTGGGATTACAGGCTTGAGCCACCGCGCCCTGCCCTCCCTCCCACCTTTCTAATCTTGTTAGTTCCTCCCTTGTCTGCCTAAACTTTGCAATCCTTACCTATCTTATAGTGGATATTTCCTCCTGTTGGTTGTAATACTCCTTTAGAATTCAAATTTTTAACATAAATCTAACTTTGTTACATGTTACAAAGTCTAGAAACTGTCTTAAAACAGTAACAACTTCATCATCAGTAAGACTGTCTCAGTCCCCTTTTATCTTAACCTTAACTGCATCTGTCTGTGGGCCCCCAGCTTTTCAGGACTCCGTAGCTTATCACAGCAAAAAAGCTTCTTCCATGGGTGGAGTGAGCAGGATAAGATATCTGCAAAAGAGGCTCTCCAGAAAAAACTAACAGGGCCTTTAATAACCTCCTTTTAGGGCCGGGCGCGGTGGCTCAAGCCTGTAATCCCAGCACTTTGGGAGGCCAAGGCGGGTGGATCACGAGATCAAGAGATCCAGACCATCCTGGTCAACATGGTGAAACCCCGTCTCTACTAAAAATACAAAACATTAGCTGCACATGGTGGCGCGTGCCTGTAGTCCCAGCTACTCAGGAGGCTGAGGCAGGAGAATTGCCTGAACCCAGGAGGCGGAGGTTGCGGTGAGCCGAGATCGTGCCATTGCACTGCAGCCTGGGTAACGAGAGCGAAACTCCGTCTCAAAAGAAAGAAAAAAATAGGCATATTGCCTCTAATTAAAAAAAAAAAAAAAAAAAACCTCCTTTTGTAGGCTCAATATTAGCCTTAGCTCTGAGTCACTGGGCTCAAGCTTTAATTTCCATGTTAGAGTTACTCACTTGGTTTTTGAAACTACGTGTTTGAAAAATCCAGCAAAATTGCTCAAACATAGCGTTCATATAAGGGTGTTGTTCAAGGACCTTGGTTTTCTTCATCATATAAGGGAAGGATATTTTAAGGTGCCTGCAATTTATACCTCCATTAAAAAAAGCAAAAGTATCTATTTCTTGGGGCCGGGCGCGGTGGCTCAAGCCTGTAATCCCAGCACTTTGGGAGGCCGAGGCAGGTGGATCACGAGGTCAAGAGATCGAGACCATCCTGGTCAACATGGTGAAACCCCGTCTCTACTAAAAATACAAAAAATCAGCTGGGCATGGTGGCACGTGCCTGTAATCCCAGCTACTTAGGAGGCTGAGGCAGGAGAATTGCCTGAACCCAGGAGGCGGAGGTTGCGGTGAGCCGAGATCGCGCCATTGCACTCCAGCCTGGGTAACATGAATGAAACTCCGTCTCAAAAAAAAAAAAAAAAAAAAGTATCTATTTCTTTAACATAAGCATTATTTTATTAATTCCATTAAAAATCATTTAGTAAACAATTAGTCATATGGGAAAGCTTCTAGGTAGTACCAAGTTTCATCTTATAAAATTTAGCATGAAACTCAGAAATCGAGATTAACAGGATCTGAACAGAGATATCCACTGTCACAAATTTACCCTGCAGAAAGAGGAACGGATGTTTACATGAATATATGTAACTCACCAATTATACCACATTTTCTGGTGGAAATGTACTTACTTTCTATAGCAAAAATGGAATAGAGATTTTCCCTACTCATTTCCTTGGTAGCATTCTAAAAGCTGAGCCTTAGAATTCTGTTTGAAATCACCCAGCCATAAAAAACACACCTGAGAAAATTCCTAAACTCACACCAGGGAAAAAAAGGGGGAAATAGAGATTTTTTAATGAATGGAATATATGATTAGATATTAATTTTTTCTGAAACCCACCGCTTTTATGCCTTTTGTAAATATTTTCCTAACTTTCAAGCCCTACTAATACAATACAATTTACAGCAAAAAACCTGAGGTTAAAATAACTGAACATATCTTTTCAAGGTGACAAACCCAGGGAGTGGCAGTACTGGTAAAAAACAGATGCGTCTGACTCATGTTTCAAGTCAGGCCATTCAATCACTTGAGAGATTCTTCCACCCACTCCTGCTCACTTATGTGCTCAGGAGCCACCCACTCAGGAGACACTGCACTATGCCCCAGTGACTGCCCCAGGGGCATTTTACTTCACAAGTTCTTACACCATTTCACGGGGGTCAGTGTTTTCTTTTTCTTTTTGTCTTTTGGGATACTATTTTACCTGTCCCCAATGTTTCACTTTTTTCCACTATTTTAGTTTCACTATATTTATTTTACTATTTTTCTGTCCCCTTAGAGAATTCAGGGGGCAGAAATTATTTCTGTTTTCCCCTCAATATCACAATCTGATTGGCTGATCAGCAATATGTCTCCAAGAAATGAGAGGTGGGTTGGGTGAAGACAATTTTAACATCTCAAGGGGTTACCTTTTCATACAGAGTACACCAGAAGGGCCGGGCAAGGTGGCTCACGCCTGTAATCCCAGCACTTTGGGAAGCTGAGGCGGGTGGATCATGAGGTCAAGAGATTGAGACCATCCCGGCCAACATGGTGAAACCCTGTCTCTACTAAAAATACAAAAATTAGCTGGGTGTGGGCCTGTAGTCCCAGCTACTCGGGAGGTTGAGGCAGAATTGTTTGAACCTGGGAGGCGGAGGTTGCAGTGAGTCAAGATCATGCCACTGCACTCCAGCCTGGTACCTGGCCACAGAGTGAGACTCTATCTCAAAAAAAAAAAAAAAAAAGTACACCAGAAGATTCCTCTCAGCCCCAGGGCATCCATTTGCTTCCTTGAGAGGATATACTCCAGACCTCAAGTTCTCCTATGGGAGAAAATAACCCAGAAGCTGAGATCCACTAGACACTCTAGCTGACATAACCATGGTAGATATCTTGGTTTATCCCCAGATAGTACTGAAATCCAGGACCAAAAAAAAAAAAAAAAAACACAAAAAGCAAAACACAAAACCCTGAAGGGTAGCTGAGGACATATCACTCCATAAAGTTTCCAAAGTAAAACCTTGACCTAAAAACATTCTGATAAGATCTCTGTGCCGACAGTCGATAAACAAAAAAGACCACAAGATTTTCTACAATACAGTGTGAGGGGATTATTCTTTTCCTTCTCATGGGAAATATTTACAAACAGATAAATCTAATTAAAAGTGCCATTTCAGTAAATCACACTGCCACGTGTGTACCTATGCAACAATCTTGCATGTTCTTCACATGTACCCCAAAACCTAAAATGCAATTAAAAAAAAAAGTGCCATTTAATGCTTTGTCAGGAAATAATTAATTAAAATATGGTATAAAAAAGTACACTAAAGGACAATTAGGTGATAATGTGAATTAGGGAGACAAAGTTGGCATTTGGGAACAACAGAAGGAACTGGACATTTAAGATCTTACTGAAAGCCAGAGTGAGGCTGGAGAAATGGGGTCGGGGGTTAGACTTAAGACCCTGCTTGGGAGATGAGAAAAATACAGCAGGAAACCAGTTTCCCATGGAGTGTGAACATAACTGAGTGGCAGGCAATTAGATTGAGGTGTCTTTAGTCTTTGGGTTCCTACTTTTAAAAAAATCTACAGGTGTGAGGTGGCTCACACCTGTAATCCCAGTACTTTGGGAGGTGGAGGCAGGCAGATCACCTGAGGTCAAGAGTTCGAGACCAGCCAGGCCAACATGGTGATATCCCACCTACACTAAAAATACAAAAATTAGCTGGGTGTGGTGGTGGGCGCCTATAATCCAAGCTACTCAGGAGGCTGAGGCAGAAGCTTGAACCCAGGTGGCGGAAGTTACAGTGAGCCGAGATCGTTCCACTGCCTCACTCTGGGCAACAAGAAAGAGACTCCATCTCAAAAAAAAAAAAAAAAAAAACTAACTCAAATGCGTTGTTTTGTAAAGTACTACATTGAAAGAAACAAACTTCAGGCTTAACCAACTGTGAATTGCCAATTAAGTTCTAATTACATAACCAGAAAATTTTCACCTTTATTGTACAAATTAAGAAACGACATAACTACCTAATTAACAAACTTCGTTTTCTTCATCATGATCCTTATAAAAGTCTTTCCTTCAAGCCCCGCCCATAAGCCCCAAATTACAAACCATAGCTGAATGCTCTACAATTTTTGAACTACTCTTTGATTATATTCTTTAATATTTTTGTGGCGACTTCTGTACTTTTTTTTTTTTTTTAATCGAGAAAGAGTCTTGCTGTGTTACCCAGGCTGGAGTGCAGTGGCGCAATCTCAGCTCACTGCAACCTCCACCTCCCAGATTCAACTGATTTCTCCTGCCTCAGCCTCCCGAGTAGCTGGGACTACGGGCGTGCACCACCACGCCCAGCTAATTTTTGTATTTTTAGTAAAGACGGAGTTTCACTATGCTAGCAACGCTGGTCTTGAACTCCTCACTTGGTGATCCGCCCACCTTGGCCTCCCAAGGAGCTAGTATTACGGACGTCAGGCACCGCACCCGGCCTGTACATTTTTAATAGGAGAAAAGAGGAACTGGGAACCCACGAACCAAAGCTCTTCCAATTCATGAATCCTTACCCCAAGTCAGGATTCTCCCCTGACGACCCTCCCGTGGTCCCTGTACAATCTGGAAGACGCGGCGCTGAGGGTGCAGAGCTGCCCAGAGAGCGCTCCAGGCCAGGGCACAGTTACAGCACAGGGAAGAGACAGGACGCCCCTGCCCGGCTGTCAGTGCAGCCGCCATCTTATGCCTGAAGGGAACTGAGGCTGAGCTGGGCCAGAACTCGGGGCGCAGATTGCGGAGCTGACTGTGGGGAGGCCCAAGTCCTGCCACAGCCACTTCCACCCGTTACAACCAGCCCTTCCCCTCTCCGGATATCGGACCCGGCACTCTCACCATTTCTAGGCTTCCAGGGGATTCCGGCATCTTAGCTCTGATTTCCTAATACCTGCTGGTCACAGGGCCACAGAAGATGGGCCTCCAGGAGCACAGGACACAAAAATGAAGACGAGACCCGCAGCTCCGGCTGCAGCGAGACAAAGGCCCCGCCAAACCCGGAAGCCGCCCTGTCCGCTTCAACTGCGTGGCTGATTGGACGGTTCCCAGCTTGACGTCTCTGATTGGATGACATTTAAATCCCCGCCCTCTCAAGCCATGATTGACGGAAGATGTGATGCGACGCGGGGCTGAATAGAGTGACAGCGTAGGTTGCAGCTTTCTCTGACAGGGCTTCCTCCCTGAGCTGAGCCAGGCTCACTACAGAGGGTATTTGCATTTATCCTTGTGTATAAGGTCATATGCATTTATAAACATATTGTATCGGGCCAGGCGCGGTGGCTCACGCCTGTAATCCCAGCACTTTGGACGACCGAGGTGGGTGGATCACCTGAAGTCGGGAGTTTTAGTCCAGCCTGACCAACATGGAGAAACCTTGTCTCCACTAAAAATACAAAATTATCCGGGCGTGGTGGCACCTGCCTATAATCCCAGCTATTCCGGAGGCTGAGGCAGGAGAATCGCTTGAACCCGGGAGGCGGAGGTTGCAGTGAGCCGAGATCGCACCATTGCACTCCCGCCTGGGCAGCAAGAGCAAAACTCTGTCTCAAAAAAATTTAAAAAATAAATTAAATAAATAAATAAAGTAGCTGCCAGAAACCCTTGAAATTCTGGATAGTGACACTTCTACAAAATAAGCCAGATTTCTTTTAGGTTTGTGTTCATATTGTACTGTTTACCATAGGGAATAAACCTCTCGAGAAATTATAGGTTGTGGGGGGGAAGGAAATTGCAGAAGCACACAGTGGCTCAGACCTGTAATCCCAGCACTTTGGGAGATTGAGATGGGAGAATTATGTAAACTCAGGAGTTCCATTGCAGCCTGGGCCACACAATAAGATTTTGTTTCCGTGAAAAAATTAGCCAGCCATGGTGATACATGTCTGTAGTCCAAGCTACTTAGGTGGCGGAGGCAGGAGGATTGCTTGAGCCTGGAAAGTCAAGGCTGCAGTGAGCCATGATTAGTTGCACCACTGCCATCCACACTGAGTGATAAAGTGAGACCCTATCTCAAAAAAAGAAAAAAATGGAGATGCATTTTGAAGACACAGAATAATCTTAGGAGATAACTAAGGGATGAGCTTAGAAAATCAAAGCCCAATAGCACATTATTTATTTTTATCATAGAAAATATTTGAAAACTTTTAAAAGAGAAAAACTTTAGAGAAACTAAATTTAACAGAGTTTAATTGAGTATAGATTAATTTGCAAATTGGGCAGCCAGTGGATCCAGAGTAGGCTCAATAGAGACTAGCTCAGCCACATGACGAAAACAGATTTGTGGATGGAAAAAGCAAAGTGACATAAAGAAAATGGAAGTGGGGTACAGACACAGCCAGATTGATTACAGGTTGGGATTTGTCTTATTTAAACATAATTTGAACACTTGATCTTCTTTTATTGGCAAAAACACAGTGGCTGATACAATAATGTGTTACAGTCTATTTATATATCCAGTTAGGTTTCCGTTTGCTATGTACAAAAAATACCTAGTTTTGTTTTTGCTTAGTCTTGCTTTGGCTATGCAGGCTATTTTTAATTTCATATAAGTTTTAGTATTGTTTTTTTCTAATTCTGTGAGGAACGATGGTGATATTGATGAAGATTGCATTGAATTTGTAGATCGCTTTTGGCAGTATGGTCATTTTCACGATATTGATTCTATCCACCCATGAGCATGGGATGTACTTCCATCTGTTTGTGTTGTGTATGATTTCTTTCAGTAGTGTTTTGTAGTTTTCTTTGTAGAGGTCTTTTCCTCCTTGGTTAGGTATATTCCTAAGTTTGTTTATTTGTTTATTTTGCAGCTATTTTAAAAGGGGTTGACGGCCGGGCACGGTGGCTCAAGCCTGTAATCCCAGCACTTTGGGAGGCCGAGCCGGGTGGATCACGAGGTCAAGAGATCGAGACCATCCTGGTCAACACGGTGAAACCCCGTCTCTACTAAAAATACAAAAAATTAGCTGGGCATGGTGGCGCGTGCCTGTAATCCCAGCGACTCAGGAGGCTGAGGCAGGAGAATTGCCTGAACCCAGGAGGCGGAGGTTGCGGTGAGCCGAGATCGCGCCATTGCACTCCAGCCTGGGTAACAAGAGCAAAACTCCGTCTCAAAAAAAAAAAAAAAGAAAATGTTTAAAAGGGGTTGAATTCTTGATTTGATTTTCCACTTGGTGGCTATTGGTGTATAGAAGAGCTACTAATTTTTGTATATTCATCTTGTATCTGGAAATTTTACTGATTTTTTTATCAGTTCTTGGAACTTCCTTGAGTCTTTAAAGTTTTTGAGGTAAATGATCATATCATCGGCAAACAGTGACAGTTTGACTTTCTCTTATTAATTTGGATGCCCTTTATTTCTTCTTGTTGTTTGATTGTTCTGGCTAGAACGTTCAGTACTATGTTGAAGTAGAGTAGTAAGAGTGGGCATCCTTGTCTTGTTCCAGTTCTCAGAGGGAATGCTTTCAACTTTTCCCATTCAGTATGATGTTTTCTATGGGTTTGTCATAGATGGCTTTTATTATATTGAGTTATGTCCCTTATTTGCTGGTTTTGCTGAGAGTTTTAATCATAAAGAAATGCTGGATTTTGTCAAATGCCTTTTCTGCATCTATTGAAATAATTACATAATATTTGATTTTTTCTTAATTTTTTTAAATTTTATTTTATTTTTTCAGACAGAGTTTCACTCTTGTTGCCCAGGCTAAAGTGCAATGGTGCAATCCTGGCTCACCACAACCTCTGCCTCCTGGGTTCAAGCGATTCTCCTGCCTCAGCCTCCCAAGCAGCTGGGATTAAAGGCATACACCACCACGCCCAGCTAATTTTGTGCTTTTAGTAGACGCGGTGTTTCTCCATGTTGGCCAGGCTGGTCTGGAATTCCTGACTTCAGCTGTGGCTGCTGTAGGGGATGGCAGTGACTTTCTCAGGTCAATGGAGTTATGTTCCCAGGAGAATTATGGATGCCTCTGCTGTGTGATGCAGGTTGTCAGGAAAGTGGAAAAAACCTGGCAGTAACAGGTCTCACCCAGCTCCCACACAACCCAAAAGGCCAATCTAGCACCCACCAGGCACCCTCCAATGGCACCGAGTTTGTTTCCAGGCAATGGGTTAGCAGGGCGGAGAACTTGCCACAGGCTACAAGCCTCCTGCTGAGAGCAGAAGACCTTTTTTTTTTTTTTTTTTTAGACGTAGTCTCGCTCTGTCACACAGGCTGGAGTGCAATGGCAGAATGTCAGCTCACTGCAACCTCCACCTCCCAGGTTCGAGAGATCCTCCTGCCTCAACCTCCCAAGTAGCTGGGATTACAGGCACCCGCCACCGGGCACAACTAATTTTTGTATTTTTAGCAGAGACGGGTTTCACAAGGTTGGCCAGGCTGGTCTTGAATTCCTGACCTCAGGTGATCCACCCGCCTCGGTCCCCCAAAGTGCTGGGATTGCAGGTGTGAACCACTGTGTCCGGCCAAACAGCAGAACTTCTATGCCTCTTCACCTGTCAAGTCTGCACTCTAGATTCACGCCCTCCTCTGAATTCTGGCTAGGAAATTTCATGTTCAGTTGGAATTGTTACAAAGGTCAGCTGGAGGAAAAAATATTATAATATATATATTTACCTTAAAAGCTACTGCAAATCAAATATTTTATATATATATATATATATATAATATTTGTTTTTTTTTTTTGAGACGGAGTTTCGCTCTTGTTGCCCAGGCTGGAGTGCAATGGCGCAATCTCGGCTCACCACAACCTCCGCCTCCCGGGTTCAGGCAATTCTCCTGCCTCAGCCTCCTGAGTCGCTGGGACTACAGGCACGTGCCACCATGCCCAGCTAATTTTTTGTAGTTTTAGTAGAGACGGGGTTTCACCATGTTGACCAGGATGGTCTCGATCTCTTGACCTCGTGATCCACCCGCCTCGGCCTCCCAAAGTGCTGGGATTACAGGCTTGAGCCACCGCGCCCGGCCAGTATTTTATATTTTTAATAAAAGATTATTTTCAATTTTTCTGTAAACAGATCTAAATATATTTAGCTTTTCTACAGCATATAAAAATAAGATTCTAGTCAGGCATAGTGGCTCATGCTTGGAATTCCAGGACTTTGGGAGGCCAAGACACAAAGACTGTTGAAACACAGAGTTTTGATACCAACATGGCAAAAGCCCATGTCTACACAATATACAAAAATTAGCTGGGCACGGTGGCCCGCACCTGTATGACTTTCTATTCAGGAGGCTGAGACAGGAAGATTGCCTGAGCACAGGAGCCCGAGGCTGCAGTGAGCCATGATCAATCTACTGTAGATTCTTTCTTAAAGAATGCCAAAGCATATAAACACAAGCCTATGTGGATTTTTTTGGAAATTATTATTATTATCATTCTAGGAGTTTTGGGGTACAGGTGGTATTTGATTACATAATTTCTTTTTCTTTCTTTTTTTTTTTTAAGACGGAGCTTCACTGTTGTTACCCAGGCTGGAGTGCAATGGCGCGATCTCGGCTCACCGCAACCTCCGCCTCCTGGGTTCAGGCAATTCTCCTGCCTCAGCCTCATGAGTAGCTGGGACTACAGGCAGGCGCCACCATGCCCAGCTAATGTTTTGTATTTTTAGTAGAGACAGGGTTTCACCATGTTGACCAGGATGGTCTCGATCTCTTGACCTCATGATCCACCCGCCTCGGCCTCCCAAAGTGCTGGGATTACAGGCTTGAGCCACCGTGCCCGGCCCACATAATTTCTTTAGTGGTGATTTCTGAGATTTTGGTGCACCCAGCAACTGAGCAGTGTACACTGCACCCAATGTGTAGTCTTTTAACCCTCACTCCTCTCCTACTCTTCCCCTCGAGTCCCTGGGGTTTATTATATAGTTCTTATTATTTTGAATCCCCATAGCTTAGCTCCCACTTGTTAGTGACAGCTTACCATATTTGGTTTTATATTACTGAGTTACTTCACTTAGAATAATGGTCTTTGGCCAGACGCAGTGGCTCATGCCTGTAATCCCAGCACTTTGGGAGGCTGAGGCAGGTGGATCACAATGTCAGGAGTTCAAGACCAGCCTGGCCAAGATGGTGAAACCCTGTCTCTACTAAAAATACAAAAATTAGCTGGACATAGTGGTGGGCACCTGTAATCCCAGCTACTTGGGAGGCTGAGGCAGGAGAATCACTTGAACCTGAGAGGTGGAGGTTGGAGGTTTCAGTGAGCCAAGATCGCAGCACTGCACTTCAGCCTGGGTGATAGAGTAAGACTCCGTCTCAAAATAAATAATGGTCTTGAACTTTATCCAAGTTGCTGTGAATGTCATTATTCAATTTTTTGTTTTATGGCTGAGTATTTCATGGTATATATATGTACCACATTTTCTTTATCCACTTGATGGTTGATGGACATTTAGGCTGGTTCGATATTTTTGCAGTTGCAAATTGTGCTGCTGTAAACGTGTGTGTGCAAGTCTCTTTTTATATAATGACATTTTGTCTGTATGTAAATACCCAGGAGTGGGATTGCTGGATCAAATAGTAGTTATACTTTTTGTTCTTTAAAGAATCTCCTGGCTGTTTTTCATAGTGATTGTATTAGTTTACATTACCACCAACAGTGTAAAAATGCTGGTTTTGATTTGAAATTTTCTGATAATTAGTGATGTTGAGCATCATGTTTTCTTTTTTCTTTTATTCTTCAGTATATCTTTTTTTTTTTTTTTTTTTTTTTTTT